ATACAGATTCTCAGGTGATGGACTCAGATATTTATGTAGGCTGCTGGGTCCAAAAATACAGCACCAGACGACAGGAAGCCATGCTCTCACTGTACCACAGATGGTCTGTGTTACATTGAGATGTTTTGCAAGTGGGAGCTTCCTTTATTCTGTTGGGGATGCAGAGAACCTCAATAAAGGAACCATTTGCCGCACATATCCTGGCTTGGTGGGCCGCCCCCTGTGCCAGTTCTATGGGCTTTTTTTTAAACTGCTACAATCATACAGATATTCAACATGTCAGCAGACACCTAATCTATTCACCTAAGTTGTTCACTGTTATCTACTTTAAAGTCACTTACCAGCCTGCAAAATGTTCTTGTTTTTAACTTTTTTAACATTTTTAATGTAACTTGCTGCCAGGTCTTTTTATGGCCAGACAAGTTTGTTCTTTATGAATTGTTTGCACTTAATCATACTCTACATTTCCTGAGTTACACGCACCTCTACTTGCCACATTTAAGGCAAAGTGTACAACAGTTGATTAGTGGACTTAAAGTAACTCCTGTAGTCCTTTAATTGTAGCCTAATTATGACAGTTCCAGTGGAGCACTGTTTATTAATTGTACAGTTTTGGACTACTTAAGCATTAAGCCGGTCCGCTATTGTTGCATGTATAAGAAATGTCGTTTTCAAACATGCTTTGCAAATGTTTTATGAGGAAGGAAATGCATTCACCACAGTGATACACAAAATGTGTTTTAGTGAAGACCTGAATATAAATATAACTTTCACTTTAACTTTGACTTTATTTGTATTTTATTGACATTTTGAGGCGATATAACAACAAAAGGAACTCCTGTAGTAACTGCAGTCATGTGGAAACAGTTCTTCACATTCCCACACTTCCCTGGTTATTCCATGACCTGCTTTTTTTTTGTTTTGTAATGTGTTCTGTATGTTTATGTTGACAGAGGGCTGCACTACATGAAAATGTTCCACATTCCACAGTAAAGCCTTGCACTTCTTTAGTTTCCACTTAGAAACAAATAAACATCCACGGTTTGCTTCGAGGAAGCTTTCAACCACACACTGGATCTCCATAAAAGGTCACACGTTTTATATCACTTCAACTGTGTTACAGTTGCTTACTGGGTAAACCAGTAAGTAGGTTCTTGACTCATGAGATACAGGAAAGCTTCTATACTTTAAACCGACATAGACCAGACCTGTCAAGATTGAGGTGATAAAGCTGTAGATGACATCCTCATTTTTTAAGGTGTCAGCCGCAAGTCTGCTGAACAGTATCGCTAATGGCAAAGAGTGTGAAGGATCACATTCCATTTTGTGTGTGAAGAAACAAAACCAAAATTTGCTGACTGTTACACCAGACAGCCCACTACATTATGACTAAAATGGTTTTAAAATATGGGCTTGTGCTGGAACGGCTGCAAGTCAGAGAGAGCATGGAGTATAAGGCTACGCAGTAACTGTTTCAGCTAAACAGCTCTAATAAACCCCTGATAAAGTGCACTACCTGCCCAGCACCAAGTGGTAGTTAGTTACCAGTTCCACCAGTGAAGAAAGTGGAACATGTACCAGCTACATATGAGGTTTAGTGGAGACAAACCCAGAGCAAAAAGAATAATTAATTATTGGACACAAATACGACTCCAAATGCTAATGTGTCTGCTGCATATGTTAATTGGCAACAGTTTGATGGTGTTTGCAATTCAGCTTTATAAAGAGATGAAACTACTGACAATGAATGTCAAAGAATGAACATTTGCACAGCGGCCCTTTTGACATGAAATAGTAGGGTAAACACAGATGATATCAATGATACTAATTAAGGTTCTGTTCCATTCAGGTCAAACAGAGTCAGGGGGCTGCTATTGTACATGTTGGCTCACTGGACAGGTTCTGCTACTCTAAATAGGATGGACCCTCAGTTATTATCATTGCTAACACCCGTGTTTACCCTACTATTTCATGTCCGAATGACTGCTGTGAATAAGCTCTATGGTCTTCGTCTGTGCAAAGCAAACATGCAACTAGTTTAAACATCTTCCTAGAACCTAGAAAGCTTCAAATGTACTTTCTCAGAAGCTGGAGTGTTAGGCTTAAAACTACACTTCCTCCTCTCTGTCACTGCTTCACCCTATAGAGAGAATTACAGTCCAGATGTTGTTGATTTCACCATGGTCTGTTGCTCAGGGTCAGTGGCGTGCACGGAGGGGGGGGCAGCCCCCCCTCGTGGCCCAATTGTTGAAAAACGCGTGCTAAAGTGCCCTATACAGTGGTGAGGAGGCGCTATATGTGCCCTTTTCTTTCCGCCCCTGCCCTTCAAAAAGTCTGTGCACCCCAGTGCTCAGGGTCAATTTCTGGTAATAACAGCCTCCTTAAAGACAGACAAAATAATTATGTATAAATACAAATTGCGTGTTTTCATTAAACGGTAACCTTTAAAGATTTCTGCTCAGGTTAAAATAGAGCAGAGCTATGATGACGCAACTCTATGAACCACATTACATTACATTAATGATGTCTATGTCACATTTACATTTCTCAGAATGATTTCTCTGCTATTATTCTGTATGTCAAAATGTCATCTGTTAAAAAGATCTGAATGAAATGATAAGTTGTTCCATCAAAATAAAACTAACGGGACAGCGAGATGTTATGTCTATTGACGACATTTTATAAATGCCCACACAGGCCTGAGAGATCCCCAGGTCTGGTGTTTATTAGACTAGCTGGATAATTTGTATTCACCACTACATAGCTCCTGATGAAGATGGATTACCAGTTAGGCCAGTTAGTTAGGCCTGGGGTCCTGAAGGTCCCAGGCTGTCTGTGTGGCAATTAACTTGTCGTAATTTGATTAACTACACACATGTTTGGTAAAGGCACCACTTAAGCATAATCAAAATGGAATTGGAAATGGTATGGTGGTGGTACATTTTTACACAATCTTGTGGTCTTGTCTTATAGAAGGGCCCTGTGTTAAAATCTAGTATTAATATGTTTAATATTTTATTTTATACTATTCTTACATGGTGCATATCCTTAAACCTGCATTTAATTTTTGATTTTTGGCCACTAGAGGTCAGCACAACAAGCTGTGACACTCTGACCTATGTTCACCTTATAAAGTTGATTATTAGCAAACAGTTACACATTCATCGGATATGAACCAAAATTAGCATTCATTTGGAGTTGTTCGAGCCCATATTCATTCTCCTTATAGCTCCGGTTTGGCCTGTTCCTAGTGCGGAGGGTAAATACCTTGCTCTATAGTGACTAAACGCTCCAATATGTTCACTAGCTATAGCTTCTAACTTTGTCATTTGGTGCTCAGTTTGTCGTGTACATTTTATTTACTGAAAACATCTGCCTAATGTTGTTGGAAACAATGTTGATGATTGTGAGAGTGAACAAAAAACATGTGGGCCTTACAACCAAAACGGAAGCGGAAAGAGTAAAAATGGCTTGTGGTACTGATTTTTGCCCCACATCCCCCTACAGCTTAATACAGCCTTGTTGCTGTGCATTACTGCTATGGACAGATAGTTACAGTACGGTAGTGTCTGACAATAAAACACACGGAATAACTGTTGCTTCTCAAAACCAACATTTATGGACAGTGCTTAGCTGCCTAAAACACAGCCAAATGTTAAATGAACCTGATGTTAGCAGCTGCAATAGTGCAGCACCAATTAATTAATGCTATATGATATAAATATATCCATACATGGATGATATTAACCACAGCCATATATTAAATACAGAAGAGAAAAATCAGTGTATTCTTTCCTAATGGATCAATTAAGGGATTCAAAGAGAGCAAAATGACAACTATATATGCTCAAGTCTGCACATGGTGTGATGAGAAACAGGGTGTAATCAGGCAACTGCAGTCCAAACACCTGTATGGGTAGTCTGAAGGCTAAAAACCATCTAAACTGGCAGTCACCATCAAAATTTAAAGGCATAAAAGAATATTTAAAATATTTTGCATCTCTGTCACAGAGGGTTTCTGACTTTAAGTTGCTGGTCTATCTGTGGGGGTCTGACAACCAGTTTTAATCAAGCACTGGGTTTATTCCGGCATCCAGAGCAGCTTTGCTTCAGTAAAATGCCTGTATGCTGCCATCTACAGACCATCTCTGCAGAGATAATAAGGTTGTGCACAGCGCCCTCTTCTGCTGGAGGAAGAAAATCCCAAATATCTTTCCTTTGACGATGTGGGATGCATTTTTATATAATAAAATACATATTAAAGTAGCTCTGTAGCGTTCAGATAGAATTTCTTCATGGTTCTTCTATACTCTTTTAATCTCTCTATTAATGAGAATTAATGTAATTAATATATTCCCTAACTGTAACTAGTAAACAGCCCTTTGAAGAAGTGAGGTCTGTCCTTCTCATAGTCAGTCTGAGCCTCATAAACAGAGCTGTTAGGATTTTAGAAATATATTCCGACAAACCACCAACCAAACTTTTAAATAAATAACACAATGTTCGTATGTAGCTGTATATAAAGTTGTTCAAACTACACCTTGAGAAGTTACAACAAGTTACACTACTTACAATGCACACGGATGCATCAGCCACGAGGATGAAATAAGTAAGTATTACTTTAATATGTTAAGTAGATTTTTCATTTACTTTATTACATATTTCTGTTCTTACTTAAGCAGGATTTGTCTTGAAGGACATTTATTTGCAATGTAGTATTTTTACATTGCTGTGTATTGCTATATTGGTACTTTTACTATGATTACTATCTACTACTACTATTAGATCACAAATGAAACATATTCTTGGGGGTTTCTTTAATTTGAAGAAAAAAAGTTTAATAAAAAAAAAAATCTTTTAAAAAAAAAAAATAAATATTTTTTAATATTATTTTTTTAAAAAAAAAAAAAAAAAAAAAAAAAAAAAAAAAAAAAAAAAAAAAAAATAAAAAAAAATCTATGTACTTACTTGATGATTATAAACACGACACAGAAACAAACTCAGATTAACTTTTTATTGTCATTCCTGCAGAAATACCACAAAAAACAACAACATCGTAGTGACTACGCTGTGATTGGAAGAATGGTTCCATCTTGATTCTCTATAAATTTAGGTTATACTATCTTTGATACAATAGAATCATTTGTTAGAATTACTAATAGAAAAAAAAAGCTCAGGGAGATGAGTTTTGTGCATAGCTTATAACCAACCTCCATACAAAAAATAAAAGGAGATAAAAGAACAAAAATATATAAATAAATGCTTAAAAAGAATACTAAAGGCTGTGGTGATGTAAACCCAAATTCGGACTATAAGATCAGTGGTTCATCCCAAAATGAGAATAATGTGATTAATAAACATAGAGTTGCAAAATACAAACATTATGTGTAGTGTAAAGTGATTCAACTTATATAATCAGCTGGGTTCAACCAGCGTAGTGTGATGAAGTTGTGAAACAACAAGCTAGAACTGCAGCTTCACTGGAAAAATAACGTCAAAGTTTACTGATGAAGAGTCTTAAAACCAGATTTTTATTGTAATTGAGGAGGAAATATTCTGCCAAAAGGATTATTTGATTTGTTTCTGGTGCGACACAACCAGGGCTGAAACGAGTAGTTAATATAGTAGTGAATGTCACTGATTGATCAGTTATTTATCAAGCACAAATGTCCAGATTGTGAGGATTTGCTGCTTTTCACCAGATTAAATCGATGAGGAAATTTATAACTAGTTGATTATAAAAATAGTTAATTTTTGCTGGATAACTTTGGAACATAACATCCTTAATTCCAGAGATTAGTGAAATTAAAAATGACCTGCATTTAAAAAAGGGAGCATTATTTGACAGACTGACAGCTTTTTTCCACCTTTTTTTACAAACAGACAAATTTGATTTTAAGACTCTGTACACCATAAAATCCTTCTTGTTCAGTCTTGAAGTGGAAAAGTTTGCAGAGTTCAAACTTGTTTCTAAAACTAACAAAAAAAGCATCAACCAGCCAGCTGGTTAGCCAATGTTGGTCATTACAATTCCTGCCTCTCTGGTATTTGTTCATCTGATGACAGCTGTGAACAAACCAGCCTAACTCCAAGTAAACATCCTTGTAAACACCACAGGGAATGGACTGGCTGTTGCTCCACCAGGGGGCAACAAAGACTTTAACAGTCAGAGCCACTGCAGAAATCCCTTCTTCAACGGAACCAGAACAGTTTGTACCACAGAACTAGTGTTTTCAGCTGACCTCACATTTTGTTTTAACTTCTGATGGCTGAGGAGAGATGAGAACTAAATGTCATAGGATCAATCCTTCATGGAGTTGCAGCAACAGTGCAGCAGTCATATACATGCAGTAAGCATACAGTGGGATTTCCAAAATGGCTACACCTGCATGTTACAACACAACTGACACAAAGAGAAAACAGAGTAAAGGAAACAAAACAGAAAACAACATTTCTCTCCTCACCATCACTAGCACTCTGTTTTCACAGTTTTCGTGGTGCTTTCGGGTCATTCAAGAGAAACTTTGCAGGCACAAAGTGGTTCTACTGCATTACCCTGATCAACAGGGAACAGCTTCAACTTCAAACAAAAAGAAAAAAACTAAAGTGATTCAGAGTTTCTGCATCAGTGGTTCTCTCAACTCTTCCCATTCAGTGCTGTATGCGCTGCCTCTAAGTGGAAGTTATTACACAGTGCACGCACTAGTGCATGTGTGAACTGCATAGGAAGTTATTTTATCACGTTTGGCTTTTGGGCCTCGGTTTAGAAGTTTTACATCACTTTTATCTCCACACATCTAAGCAAGTAGGATTCTTGCTTACCATTTCAGGCAGTTTGGAGCAACACAAATCTGCCAGATTAATTTTAATCAAAAAACATGTTTCAGACTTGTTTAAAAACAATCTACTGAATCCACAGTGAAACTACTGCTAAATATCCGTGGCTGCACAACTTGTGACCAAATTAAAAAGTTACTGTAACAGCTTATAGAAAAATGACTCAAGTACACAGCAAAAGGATTGTTGGTATAAATGAACCTATCATACTGCAGGAGTTGTGGGTAAAATGTTTAAATGATATTACAGGAATAAAGAAAAGTTTGGAATCAATTGTCAAATCCATGAAAACCATTATCATCCATACATCCCCAGTACTACATGAGTAACTTCGGTCCAGCCTCAGTAACTTCCTGTCCTGTTCCTATGCACACAAGATGTTCTCTGAAATTCAGTCTAAGAAGATCATATTGACCCGTACTGTACCATTACAAGCCTCCAAGTCAGCAGACATCTGTGAATGAACTGTGCTGATACTGAAATTGTTGACTTTATGAACTTTATAGACTGAGTCAGGCCATGTGGATTGTACTCTCTTTTGAGCAGTGAAAGGACAGTCTAGACAGTCACTTAAGTAAGAATTAACTCTGTTAATTAAGTTATTAATTAACATTTTCCCTAACAAGACAGCGCTGCACTGCGTGCTAGTATATTTTAGCATAAACAATATAAACCCATTACTGGCTCCACGCTAAGACTTGCTAGCACACAGCAGCTGTGTCCCAGTTCTGTATTAGATACTAATTCTGAGCAAGTGTAAAGTGTGTAGTGAACATTAAGGACACACAAAGGAAGAAAGGAAATGGAGGAGCTGCTCACAACTGGAAAAAAAGTAAAATACACTGGTAGTGTCGTCTGTATGCGGACCAACTACACAAAAAACTGTTTGTTGATTTTTTTCTATACTACCTACAAAAACAGCATTATTACAAATGGTATATATTACATACTGCATGCAGATAGCATTCAGTGCGGAATTGGGACACACAAGGTATCAAGTGACAGCAACCCATTGGCATTTTAACTCACGTTTGTTTCCTTCCTCTTACTTTGGATAAGGATAGTCGCCTACTTCGAGTTAGCACAGAGCATCAGTTATAACAATAAACTGGGGACACATGGATGATTTTGGTGTCTGTATCCTTACCATTAAGCGGGTAAAATTACTATTTAGTGTGAGCTCCTGAAATTTGTGGACTATAAATTTAATCTCCATCCATACTTTTGTTACTGCAACACAGAAGCAGGTAAACACACCATAAGGCAGTCTCAGAAACATTTTGTGCATTGGTGTTTTCACTCTGAGTCGCTCTAAACATCACAAACACAGCTGAACGGAGTGCACACAAGCAGACTGCCACAAACTTCACATAAAGTGCAAACTGACGAGGTTTTCCCCTCATGGCATCAGACCGGCTGAAGCTCCAGGAAAACCAGCGAGACAGAGGAGGAGACAACCCACGGGTCAACACGTCGCCTCTCCTGCTGGTCTCGGTTTAATGGCTCTCAATCACCACAGGCTCGTACCCGCCTGCAGACACCCTGCAAGGACCCAAACATACAGGAACAAGAGTCAGAGTGTGTGTGTGTGTGTGTGTGTGTGTGTGTGTGTGTGTGTGTGTGTGTGTGTGTGTGTGTGTGAACAAGTTAATTAGTGTGTTTGTGTTTGATGGAATGGAGGGTTAAACTCTTACACATCTATTTAATGCTCACTTTTAGTCTTACCCTTATGTACATGTATTTACAGTTGTAACATATTATGTAAGTCATAAGAAAAGAAGATCATATTAAGTTTTGTTCTAGGCTTTTTGGAAAATAGATTAGATTTCTTTGTGGATATGTGGATTATGGTGAGAGTTTTTATAAATAAATAACTAATAATACTGAAGTGTGTTGATTCAGATGATCACTGGCTAATAATGTCATGTTGTGTTGTATGGTTTAATACCAGTGTCAAACAAGTTTGTCGACAAAATAATTTTTATAACTAAACTAAGAAGAAATTATGACTTAAACCAGGAACTATCTAATTAAAAAAACAAGTAAACAGAACAATTGTTTCTGAATTTAGAGCAGAAATGTTTCTATAATTAAACTAAAACTCCAATCTGTAGAAAGTTAAGTGTAAGGGTCAAAAGGAAAAGAGGAAGAGAGAGTGACACACTGACAGTGGAGAAACAAGGAGAGGAGGAAGTGATAGAAAAAAAGGAAATGACAGTCTAAACTTCTCACCTGTTTCCAAGCCTGATGCCGCTGAGCGCAGTGGTTCCATCTCTGCTGACGAACAGGCGAAGGTTGCTGTCTGAAAGCCAGAAACACAGAAACCGTGTTAGCAGCCGCTGACGGAAAACAGAGGGCATCAACACACAGACAATAAAAGGTGACAAAGCACAGAGCTGGATGACTGAAGGAGAGCTCAGTCCAAAGATGGTGCAGTATTTACGGACGACATCTTCACCACTTTTAAACATCAATAATATGCAGTCACATTAACTGTAAAACCTTCAGATCAAGAGATTCACTGTAAACAAATGAGACCACTTTAAAGAGTGATAGCCTCCATCTCACACTAATGATATTATCACTGCTGGTGTTTCTCAAGGTTAGGACTACATTTCCCATAAACCACTCAACTAACATCTTCCACTACTAGAATCTCTACAATAAATCACGCAAAACAGTGTCCACCACTTTATTGCTCCTCGAGGGCTTGTCATTGCTCACAAGCTAGCAAGTAGCTTGTTTGTTAGCAAATACTGTGTAAACAAACTCTGACTTTCTCTAACAATTTATGTGACATTGGGTCAAGCAGCATGTTTTTGTTTGTATCTGTAGCCTTGGAGCCACTAAGGGGCATACAATAGAGGAATCCCAGAGACTACGAGGATGTTCCCTTTCTCTTTCTTCTTTCTCTACAAAGAAAGAAAACTCATTAAGTTGACATTTTACAGGTTTGCCTCATTCCCTTCTTTCCAGGTTACTGGTCGGCCCCACCTATCATACAAAATTTTGAGAGGTGATTCTCTCACATCAATAAGCAATCACTACTTTGATTATACTTTGCAAGTTGTTACATTACATTACACTTGCAACAAACACAACACAGACACAAAAGGTTAACACCGAGCTGCACTACTGATGGCAGATCACTACGTAATGTTTTTATTCTGCAACGATCTCCGCTCCCACTGTACCTTCAGTGTTGTTGATATCTGCAAAGTTCTGGCTTTGGACAATTTTCTCCACAATATCGTCAGCATCCATGCGAGTGTCGTTTACCCAAGAGGGTTGACTCTCCACGGAGTCCTGCTTTCTCCTGAAATACAATGAGAAGAAGAAGTATAAACCCTAGCAAACACATGACCAGAGAACTGAAGAAAGACTACACTCTGTGTCTGTACCTGGGGGGCCTGTTAGGGGGTAAGACAGGCCGCGGGGGTCTAGGGGGTCTTTCTGGACGTCCGGCGTCCTTGTCGCCCTCTGTAGGTGTGTCAGCAGTGAAGCCCAAGCCCCCAGAGGTGCTGCTTCCTGTCGAGGTGTTCCTGCGATGTGTGAGGTCTGACAGGCTGGAGGAGCAGGAGTGCTCAGTGCTGTAGCCTGCAGGACGGCAGGGACACAAGAGAGCATCAGAAGAGACGTTAGAAGTTATCAGAGGGAAACATTAACTCAGAATTTACTCCACAGCAAGCAAGCTAATATATTAATTAATTGATTTAAATTACCAGTATTTAACCAGAAAGTCTCTTTCACATCTCGCCAAAATGCAAACATAGAGTAGCTAACATGTAGTCACATAAAAACACACACAGTCAATTCACATATAGAACAATAAAATTGGGCCCGAGAGGCATAGAAGGACTAATATTAGAAATGCCACAAATGTATTTATTTATTCAATGGAAAGAAAAAGAGACTGAGAAGTACACACCTACAAAAACAACCAGAAAGCTTCTGGTAGCTCTGGCAACTTTAATAGATTATTGTACAAACAGAAAGTAGGTTTGTTCCACTTAAATTGCAGCCTGTGGGGTCGATGCTTCACTAAGCACCTAGCTGGAGCCATAAAAAACAGAGGAGCTGGTGCCCCATGTACCAAGGCCGAGTCCTTGCTGCTGTTCCAGTCTGACCTGTAATATAAGAAGACGTGGAAGGCTGGATGAAACAACTGCTGGTGGATCTTGTACCTGAGATTTTGCTGTGCTGGCTGGCATAGCTGGAGTTACGAGAGTGACCAGAGTGGAAGAGTTCTGCAGAACTGGGCTGGTTCACTTCTGATTCTTCAAGGAGACCTGAAGGCACCAACAGAAGAAAACACAACTGCGTTATAAATTCATATTTATTTATTTTGAGTCAAAATTCTTCAGTCTTTGTTAACTTTCATAATAGAAATGCAGAACTCAGTGATGGCAGCCATGTCTGAGCTTTAATTTAGAGCCATGTACTGTACGTTCCTGTAAAGTGAAAGAGTTGGCAGGGTTTCACTCAAGCCGATCAGTCAGAGTAACTGCTTTCATAAACTAACTTGGCTCATGGCTGAGAATTAGCTATTCCTCTTGCATGGAAAAGGTGTTTTGGACAGATTCCTGAACCAGACACTCGGGTGCTGTGAACAAACTCAACCTTTCGAGCTGTTTTCCAACTTAGAACAAAAACAGGTTTTGTTTTTCATTTTAATTCAAACTGAACAAATCTTAATCATTGCCAACTAGTTTTCCATGCAAGGAAAATCTTCTCAAAAAGATTTTTTTAGAACTTATTCCAGGAAGTTCTGGCTCAGAATGAAACACATCTGGGTCGAGGCAGATTGGACCAAGATAGAAAAGACTGGGGTCAAGTCTCAGTCTCTTTATCTGATGTTTCATACTAACCTTAATCGTATGCCTTTCTGACTTAATTTTTTAAAGATTTATTCTTCTTATACGTTCTAAAAACAGTTAAAAAAAGATAAACCTTTAGGGAGAACAAGTTTTAAAGTTTTGTAAGTTAGTTCAGTAGCTATTTAATTGTGCCCCACCATTCAGTTTGGGAACCAGTGTCTTAAGGAAAGTGGGTATTTTGCTGGCTCGGAACTGGATCCAAAACGTAGCCTACTCTCAGATCACAACCCAGTACTGCCCAGACATGAGTTGTACCTGAGCTGATGATGGAGGGTCGTGGCTTGGAGGATCGGCCCAGAGAAACCCCTCCAGCCGGGCCAGGCTCGGCTGTTCCCTCCCCCTTACAGTCCAGCTGCAGGGTGTGTTCTTGTCCTGGGATGGAGATGGACTTTGCTGTGCCGGGAGGCCTGCAGGAAAAAAAAACAAAGTTATCAGTCTGGAACAGATTAAATGTGCACCGAGCTGCAGTTCTGCTTAGCTTGGCACGCTCAGATAAGATTAATTTTATTGACGGCAGGGAAACTGAGTCACTGCGGTAACAAAGGACAGATAGCACAAATATCATACATGTTTAACACCAGATGACAGAGACACCAAATGAATACAAATACACATACACAGAATGCAGAACTCTGTAAACAAATACGTGAACTTGTTTTGAGAAACAAGTTTCAGTAAAATGTGTATTTGTTCTTTTGTCCATACAGGAGGTCAGACCCTTAGGAGTACAATCTGAAAATGCTATAATGGAGAGTTAATATGCTTTGCCCTTTTGTAATTTATGTCCAAAAAATTTAAGGAAATTTTCACTCTAATCACTATTTCACCGAAAAAATATACTGTAGAAGATGTCTGCTGACTATCCAGGTTAGATTAACCAGTTTTAATTCTAGAAATTGTGTTTTTAACCCCTAAAGGCATAAAAACATCTATGATTTTTTTTGTATTAAATAATTCATAAAACCTATATATTTATAACTCATAATCTGATTAATTTTAAGTACTCACGTTTTAAAACACGGATCTCCAGACAGCAGGGTCATCCCGATGATCACCTTCAAAAAACATACAAATTAATTTTACCACACAATTTTAATAAAAACATAAATGGCAGCAATATCAGTTTTATTGTCAAGAAGTTCTCTGAAAAAGAGGTTCATTATCATCCCCTTGTTACACTTCTCTCTGATCTAACATTAACAAAATTAGTTAATATTTTTCCATAGTTGTGAAATTGCTGCCTTTTTCCTTTTTAGTGCATGTACTTTCCCTTTCCTGTACACCAGACTGCATTCCTGTACAGCGGTTAATTATCATACTGTGTTTCTCAGTACTGTTACTGTCCTTATCACGGGGGGATAACTGAAGCCTGAACATTATCATCAAGCACTGTCCTATATTTTTGTTATTGATTAATGACATATTCCAACCAAACAGTCTGTTGGCTGCTAAAGCAATAAAAGCTAACTGGAGAAGCTGGGAGTAAATTCCCAGTAAGCTCACTGACGTATGAGTTACACACAATGACACAACATGAAGTCTTCCAGCAGAATGAGATGACACATCTTCTTGTGTCCATCTTGGCTCCTTGTTTTACGGTGCGGTTTTTGTTGGTGGTCTCTGGGTGGCGTTGCAGAGTTCCTCAACTCCTCAGTGAATACACCAGAACCTCCTTCACCCACAGAGACATTTAACTGATTCAGCTGTGAGGGAAACTAGCGGCGTTGTATTGAGCACTGATAAATAAATGTTGGTTTTTGGGCTGCAACTAACTAACTAATATAATATTAATAAAATACTAACTAATTTCTTTTTTTTATTTATTTAAAATAACTAATTTCATTATCAATGAATCTACAGATTATTTTATCAATAAATCAAATAAACCTTTGGTCTATAAAATGTCAGGAAGTCTCCAGAAGTCTAAGGTGAGGTATTTATTCGTCATATTCATTTATCTCAAGGAAATTCATATCAAAATACACCCTAATAGTTGCATCCTAAGTGGACTTTGTCTGTACATTACAGATTAATGGTTTGGTTAACAAAATGTTTTATTTATGAATAAAATAAATAGATAACGTCATAACAAATAGGAGGGCAAGAGACAACACAAAGATAAGGCTGCCTGTAATGAGAGACGACCCGTCTCTAGAGGATAGTACATTGAATGTGTTTGGGCTTTGGACTGGTGGTCAGACAAAACAAGGTATTTGTTGAGTTATCCAACCTTTTATAACTAAAACAAAGAATCAAGAAACTAATCTGCAGATTACTCAATAATGAAAACAGCTGCAGCTCTATACAGTTTTTTGTTATCTGCTTTCATTTTTCACTGTGTTTGAAAATGCAACTCTTCATTACAGGACAGTTGAAATTTACTAAATATATCAGCATGCCTTATAACAGGAGGACCATGTTCACTGTAGCGGCTGAAGACACAGTTTATTCAGTATTTTAGAGTTCTGATGGTTCCTCCTTCCTATACACAAAACGGCCACTCCATTGTTTTAAGATACATTAAAAGGTAAAAAGGTTAAAGGACAACCCTTTCCTGGAAGCTGGTAGAGCTAGGGCTCAAATAATAAGGTTTATTTTCATTAACAATTAATCTGCAATATTCTATTATTATCTTAATTAACCATTTGGTTAATGAAATGTCTGAAAATTGTGAAAAATACATATATCTTAAAATCCAAGGTCCAAAACCCCAAAATATTCAGTGTATCACTTCAGACCAAGAAACACAAATTGATAGTGGAACTTGGGAATGTTCAGTATCAATTACCTATAGATTGACAAATTGGTTAATCGACTATTTGTTTCAGCTCTAGATGGAACTAAAAGGCTAAAATATATTTTCATTTTGACAGGAAAAAAAAGTCCTTGAGTGACAAAGGGACAATTGATCTTTTACCTTTCCACTCTGGCTGCTTCTGACTAAATTTGTGGAGTGGAAGCAATCAATGAAAAGGTCAAATGTCAAAGGTCAAAGTGTCAGAGTTAATGATCGAGCTTGCTTCAGGCATTGGAACCTATAAAATTTATGACGCATTCAAATTCTTGTTTATACCACGAGGGCTCAGCCTTAATCTCTCCCTATTCTCGCGGTGTTAACCATAAAATAAATGTATGTAAATAGAAACATATTTGATTAAACGAAGAATGAATTTTTTTGCTTTTCACATCAGTTTGCTCTTTTTCCCTCCCATCTCCTTGCCTTCAGTATGGAGTTGTCCTGCCGTGTGTTCTTGGTGTCGTATCCCTCCAGCAGACAGCAGCGCACAGTGGAGCCAGAACCCGCAAACTCCGCCATGTTGAGGTCTGTGAAGCCCAGCTGAGGGTGAAGAAGAGAAGATGAGTTAATTCTAGATTCAGTAATGGAGGGGTTCACTGGCCTTTATTTTTGGCATGAGTTTAGAAAGGAGAGATTTCTGCAACACCCATTATTTAGCACAATGAGCAATCTCACATTGTTAACGTCACAAGCCTCTGAAGTTTGAATGTGTATGACGGGGTGCAAAAACCATATGTCAATCTTAACAGACATCAATCCAGACGGAGAGTGAGTTTAGAGTGGCTTTAATGAAGGCAAAAAGCTTTTGCAGGTATGTTTTATACAATCAAAAACAGACAATATGTTCAGAGCTACAGTGAGTGAGCAGGTGTTCATTTAGCATATTGGTGTGGTGATTGAACTTGTTTAAATCTGTGACCTCAATTAATTCAAACATGGAAGAAAGGCCAGAGCACGACTAATGTCGGTCTCCCGTTTTGGAATGACTCCTCAGAGACACAACGGGCGAAACTGCCATTTATCACACCCGTCGGACTCGGTGCACACTCAGCAGGGTCTTCTAGTGCAAGATGCGGTTCGTTTTTGGGTTCACATCACTGTGCACAAATCAGCATGTTTTGGTTCACCCACAATCTCTCTCTCTATTCATCCTCCCAGAAAACAATCCAAAGCCTCACTACCTTGTTAGGAAATAAACGAGACAAAACAGTGAAGGAGGGAGTGAGGGAAAAAGAGAGCAGGGTAAGAAAAAAAGCAAATTAACTGAAAAAAACAAACAATTTTAATTGGTCTGTATTTCACTGTGGTTACTTTCTGAATAATAATAAAAAAATATACAGATAAAACTAAAATCTTTACTACCTCATTAGAAAATAAGCAATAAAAAAATAGTGAGTGCAACATAGATGGATGGGCTTTGTCTGTTTGTCATTGTGGCTAATAAAAAAAATATATATAGAGATAATCAGCAACACTCAGATAGAGGTCTTATCGCTCAGAAGAGCTTGGTGTCAATCACCGGCTACATCAGCTACTGGGAGGCCACCGTAAGTAAGCTTAAGGCCACATGATAAGGTACTGGCTCTCAGGCAGATGCAAACTCATAACCAAAATATATTTATTTCAACTATCAAAAGATCAACTTTTCAGCAAACTGCCTTATTCGGGATAAAAAACAGCAGTCACCTGACTGGTGTTTATACCAACTGGGACAGGTGTTACAATTCAGGCCAATCTAAGGGAGGCCTGTTTATTCTTTATCTTAAACCTCTTGACAATCAAACATATCATGTCCTCATCTTTCAGTGCATAAAATATGAACTCATAAGTTTATTTTGAAGGCACCATTATTCTTAGAGCCTATGAAAGTTGTAATGGTTGCTGTACACTAGCTGTACATTTAGAAATCCCTGACCTACACTTGGTAGAGCAGGGGTTTCTACACAGACCCAGATTACACTGATAAGGACTCTGTCTACATGACCTTTATCTCTAAAACAAACTTCACAGCTCTTGTGGAAACTGCCTTTGTCTGAACTGCATTCGCAATGTTATTTTAAATTAACTCTGCAGCTCTCTCAAGCTAAAGGCTCCCATTCTTCATTCTCCAGGTTTCCCTTTTTTTAGGAGCTTCTGTTTTCATAGGTGTGTATTTAAGGAAGCCAACTTCTAAGGAGGGAAGCAGGGTATATTTAACCAAAGGAAATCTAAATGGAGAATGGGTAAAAACAGAGGAAACAGTTCCTGTCAGGCAACAACGTCCACTGATCAACAAAAGCTAATCTTCATGAGAGGTTTCACCTTGTAATTTCATTCATGAGACATGACTCATTTCTCAGCTCTTACAGTTACGGCTAGGAAGGTGTTGGCAGGATGTTTAGCAGATTCCGGGCAAATGTGACCGTAAGGAGGACAAGGTTGATATATGGTAACGTCCGTCTAGTGGCACGCTTGTCAAAGTTCTGTGAGAAATGCTAATATTTACACGATATGGCATTAAGGTTTACAGAGACTGAACCAAGCTCATCTGTAACTGTTTCTATGTGTTTATGAACGTGAGAGGTGAGGCGACTGAGATGGAGACGCAAGCCCTTACCTTCGTATATGCTTTTCCTCCTTTGAGTTCCTGCAGGGAAAACAGGAAGACAGTAATGAACCCAGTGATCCAAGTGAACCAACTTTATATTACAGAGGCCTCCAATTACAGGGCTCCAACGAGAGAGTTGAAATTACAGACTGAGACCACACTCATGGATCCTCGGAGCATGGCACCGGCACGGCGTTCACATGGGAGATTTAGCATCAGGCACTGAAATATCCTGCTTTCATTTTTGTGTGTCTCCTAGCCTCTTGATAATGTCTGGACTGGACTTTTTTTGGTTAATCAAGTTTGTTAAAAGGATGCAGTTCTGTAGGGCTAGGGGTTCACTTAAAACTTTTAAAGACAGATACAAAAATAATACTTATTTTATTAACGTACTTGGAGGAACCCTCCCAAATAAGCATTGACTTAGTAATTTGCAGGTGAAAAGAGGTCTACACATCTAGGTTTCTAGATGGCTAGGATATAATGTATATGACTTAATTTAAATGCAAAGCAGATCCTAACTATAATATAACCACTTAAATAATGATTATATTTAATCTAGACATCCAAAATTGTATCACTTTTCTCTCCAATTAAGACACAGGGATCTTGAAAAAGTTTCCCCGTGTAGTTGTAAAGGTGTAAAAGACAAACCCAAAATGCATAAACATCTGGACTACAGCACTATTGAGTTCAGTATGCACTTTTGGTATAAGCCTGCACCAGGTTATATACGCTGTAGAGGTTTCATCAATAGGAGATATGATGATGATGTTGTAACCTCAACGTTTTGACCTGAAAATCAACTTTGCTGATTTATACCTTATTCTCTTACATTTTTCCAGCCAACAGTTTAACTGCTGTTTCTAGATCAGTGACTTATTAAAGCACACTAACTTAAACAACCATAGCAGTACTGCTGATTCCTGACACTTTACCTCCAGTAATTCTCTAGTTAACTGACTGATGAAACTAACCAATCCATTGGTTAAATCAACTATATTTTCAGGTCGCCATGGTATAAGTTTAATAAAAATAATGCTTGATGTCCTAATATGAGAAAATAATGGACTCCAACTGAGATGGTGACCTTCGACTCTGCCTCATCCATTGTTTTCCAGTATAGAGACACCTCATCATGCATTATAGCTTATTTGTGCTAAAATCCTCAAAATGTCCACCAGAGGATCTTTTATTAACAACTTACGAAATCTCTTTTGATGTTGTTTTATATAATATTGTTGTTTTAATGTTTCTGGACAGCGTTATTAAAAATAATATAGAATATCTCCAGATTTGAAGAGCACACTTTGAGAGTCGTACCTTTCTGACTGACACCCTGCAGACAGAAGGATCCAGGACTCCGGTGTGAGGGTTGGCACTCATTTTAGACACAAACGTAAACCTCTTCCTCCAGCGAACACAGTTCTCCTGAACTTCCTCTCTGTAAGAAAGAAAGAAAAAAAACAACAGGAGCACATAAATCTCTGTGATGAACAGTTTGGTATTCTGCATTCTTGTGCTTCTGATGAATTATTGATTTCGAAATGTCTTTCTACTTCTGCTTACTCCTCACTTCTTGAGCTGCAGACTTTAGTTAATGCTAATACGATTCATCTTGCTCTAAGCTGAGTCAATAAAACTGACAATTACACTGAAACATATAATGTAAAATGGCAACACCACACAAAGTGTGTGTTTATACATAAACCCGGGACTCAAGAAGAGCTTTTCCCCAAAGTTTTCCTGACATCTAACCCAAACACTCAAGACTTGGCAACTTATAATTTGTATTTGCTATATTCTCAGACTCTGAACAACACATTTTTTCCAGTTATGTCATCTCTTTCTCACAGCCTCATGACCAGTTTATCCACTGAGGATCAGATTCATCAGAGCAATACAGAGAAAACATGTTGTGAGAAAGATTTTCCAAAACTAACTGAATTACAGAGCTGATTCCCATGGCTTCTGACACTGATTACAGCTTCTAGGTGGTCAATGGTCACAAGACTTCTGTGAAAACACAGTTTGCCTTGAAGAAATGCCAGTGGAAAACCTATACCAAGTATCTATACATCCTGACTTACGGTTGGGAACACAGCAGTAGGTGTACAAACAGATGGGGTCACTGATCTGTTTGTTTCTGTGACTGGCAGTTCAACAAATTCCAAAGAAATGTCCTAGAAACACCGCAGCACGCAGCAAGAGAAGAATGTAGATTTGTGTGGTATGTACTGAAAAAAGAGACTAATTTGTTTAAGCACTTGTGACATGTATTGCGCTGCCAAAACAACATTCCAGTCAAAATCTGATTCTCTGCAGCCCTACATGTAATCTGTAAAATAAGACAACACTCTTGTTTAGAGCTGAAACAATTGGTCAATAACTGATTCGTTTTTTGCACTATTGGTTGAACTAAACTAAGTACAGTGGGGAACATAAGCCATGATACGGCCAGATCATATAAAATACATGAGCCAGGTGAAATCTGACACTTAACTATAAATCAAAACTCTGTTCATCCCTTAAGCTGCCCATAAATCCAACTTTAGAGTCTACTGCCATGCTAGCAGCGCTGTGAGGCTGTACTTAGGCACAGCAGTGCTATCAGGTAAACGCTGGTGCTAACATGCCCACAATAACACAGGGATGTTGAGCAGATATAATGTTTACCGTGTTCTCCATTTTAATTTAACGTGTTAGCCTGCTAACATTTGTTAATTAGCACTAAAGTACAGCTGAGGCTGATGGAAATGGTATTAGTTTTACAGCTATTTGGTCATAAACCAAAGGGAACGGCGCTGGATGAAGAGTTAAGGGATCATATTTTTACAATCTAACTGGAGGGGGATACAAATGCATTTACTTACCAAATGGCTGTCAAGGCATTTCACTCTTACTTATATATTTCAAGAGTGGTTTCAAGAGGAGATCACCAAGACATAGAATTTATCTTCTGGGAACCGCTGATGTCTGTACCAAATTTAATGTCAAAACTTCTTGGAGGTGCCACTCTGGCGCAGACTGAATATAAAATTCTGCACCAGAGTGGCGTCCACTGAGCTAACGTGGCTAAACATATGTTTTTCACTGTGACCTGAAGTAATTTTACTGTGCTGTTTGTAGTTAATTATGAATGTCTCTGGTGCTAAAACAGGGAGCCCTCCAAAAAACCAAAGTTAGGATGTTTGAAGCTATACTCATGCTACACACCCATGGGGGGTGGGGTATCCTTACATGCAGGTCTTCATTATTGCTAAGTTATGAGAACGTACGCTGTTCCATCATTTTGACAACCAAACATTTAAGTTAAATACCATGCTGTTGAAGAGCACCATAATTTGTGTAAATGCTCTGTCAATCACCAGTGAAAGCAAAAAAAGCCCTGTTTTTCTCCTCTTAAATGGCAAACAGCTTCACTGGATTCTGTCCAACAACATGCTGAGGAGAAGGAGATCAACTCAACAGCCAAATGTTTCTGGAGTCACTTAAACTGCATGACGCCTCCTTAATTCCACTATATATAAATCACAGACACAGTGCTTCGTGGTGGGGTGTGACGTATTTCAAATCGAAGGTGAAAGAGAAACGTTAGTACAACTTTGATACTCCATGAAGTAACTTCTAAACTTGCAAGTCAGGATTACCGTCACAGAGCCATGTACCAGATCAGGGAGTCTGAGCTTCCACTAGGTGATAATTGAGGATATTTACACTCGTCATCTAGAGATCACAAATGTGCTCAGTGAATTTCCAGCCATTCAGCAAACCCATTGGATTTTGATATTTCTTGTGTACAAATAAATATGTTAGCCTGGAGGTTAGCTAGAGGGAAGGTCATGGGCTCAGCAAAAACATTAGGATGCATCCTCTGGGGAACATGAATATACACAGGGAATTTAATGACGGCCTGTAGTTGTATAGATATCATGCTCAGGAACAAAGAGAGATCAGTCATCTGATTGAGCCATCCTTTTCCAATTCCAATGAGCTGACACAATTAATCAATTAGTCAACCGTTCTTTTATGGGTTGTATTTCAGTAAGTTCAGTTTCAGTTGTTTTGATTTATTTAAATCAGTGTTGATGAGGCCGTTCAAGTTATCGCTTGAGACAGAAGGTGTAAATGACACATGTACAACAACCACACACACACACACACACACACACACACACACACACACACACACACACACAATCTATAGTGCAAGCTAGCAGCAGCTGCTCCTCACACTCCCCCTCCCCCATTCATCTTATTCACCATCTCTCCACAACGTTCTGTGTGATTTCTACCACTTTACTTCTGCTCTTCTCTCACTTTAAATCATTTCCCACAATATTCTGAGTAAACACCTTTAATAAAAACTATAAGTCAAAGCTGAGCTACTTCAATTTGTGCTTTGGTTGTACAATGAAAACCCTGAACAACAATCTTTAGGCTTTTAGATAAAATTAGACACCTTTTGTTGTTGGTTATTCATTTTCAGCTATTGTATTAAACATAATGGCAGCATGGCAAAGACAATGAATACAAAATATTGATGTGGTACAAAGTTTCTTTTTTTAGTTTTTACTGGATCAATGAATTGCTTTATTGACAACTCTGGTAACTGATTGCTCACTTACAGGTAATCGTACTAAACATTGAACAGCCTCTCAAATCAATTTGTATTGCCTTTCTCCATTTAATATCATAATATCAAGCAAGTAAACATGGATGTTTACAACCCAAAATTAAAAATACTTAAAAACTCTTAATTATTTATGAGGAAGGAAACACTCAGAATGTTTGTCTGGACACACACAATTCACTTTGGTTAGCAACACTTAATAAAACACAACTTTTATTTGTTAAAAAAAGACAACAGCTAAGGGCCCCTTTAAACTGAAATGTCTGCTAATATTAATTCAACTAAACAAAATGAACTAAAAGGTCATGTTGGAAATCTTCTTTAAAACAACACAAGAAATGAAGAGAGTTGAAAGTGTCCTCACTTAGAGGATTTTCCCTTATCCATCTATCCCTGGAAACAAGTGCAGTTCTCAGAAGTGTAGAAACACAAAAGCACACAAACACACACACACACTCGCTCAGCTCTTATCAGGACCCTCACGCTATTGGTCCTCCAGTGTGTAACGGGAACGTTCCCAAACCACATTCCTCAGTCCAGATGGCTTTGTTCAGACTCCATGGAAACCTCACACTCGTCAAATCCACCGACGCTCTGCCAGCAGCTCAGCGGAGGAGGAGACGCTCACAGCAACACTCTCTCTTTCAAACTCAGACGTTTTTACAAGCCCTCCGCTGTTTGGTTTGAATCTCACCTGCAACCTTTGGAACTCTTCTGTTCCCCCTTTTTATTCTCACATGTTTTACTTTTGGTTTAGGAGGAGGCTGGGCTGTAACATTTAACAGAAATGTGTTACTCTGATTCCTTCTCAGGCAGGAGTATGGTGTGCAAGAACTATTGCTTAAACAACAAGCAGCATAGTTGTAGCAAAGTAGACTTTTTTTTTTTTGTTTGCATAATTTGGATGTTTGTGACATCTTTTGAGAATTTAACACTGTGTAAAGACTTCACAAAGACACTTCAGTCATCCAAAAATAAAAGACGAGATACGAGCAGCACTTCAGCACTGTGCTGTGAACGCAGACCAGCAGCAGACTCTTAGTTTAAGTCAGGCCACACTGACAGTAGACAGACTGGAGCTGCTCACACTCCAGTTGAACAGAGCTCACATAAACAGAGGACTGAAGGCCAACATGACAATGTATGCAAAGAAAAACTAACACAAAGGCCATCGTTGTGCGTGTCCTCTTCTATGCTTTTGTCCTGCAGGCAATACTTTCATCATGTTGCACAGTTGAATCAAATTAGTGCACTTCAAACAGAAAACTGCTGTGTCCCTCAACCAAACATAATTTCCAACAGCTGAAAATAGAGCAAAACCTGATGTTTCCCACACACATCATCCGGAAGATGGAGAAGTAGCAGCTCAGGAAAAAGTGGGACTTCCACAATGGCAACATGGGTACCACCATCTACATGTAATCGTCACTACTGTTAAACGTTTAAAAAAGAACATCAGGATAGATACTGTCCTGTGTTGAAAAACAATCCCCAAAAGAGACAGCATCCAAAAATGAGCTCTGTCTCAGAACCTCAAACCAAACCAAAACAGCAGACAGAGGAGCAAAAGTCTGCTGGCAGACCGAGTAATGTAATCCATTTCCATTTACTGACATGCAGCGAGAGCTAAAGTAGAAGAGGCTCAAATTCCTATATCATCAACAATTACACACAAATGAAAGTAAGGAGGCCAAGAGTCAAAGGCAGAGTAAGCCAACAAGAGATGGAACAAAATATTCCTGTGACTACATAATATCCAAACTAGATTAGGAAGTGGTAGAAAAGCAAATAAGAGCTGGGGAGCAGAGGAA